CTAAGGAGTAATCACACTTCAACTCCGAGAACGGCGAGCAAACAGAGATCACAGCGGTTTTCACAACCGGATTCCGAAAGCGCGTTTTCGGAGGACGTTCTAAGATTGTTGTCTATCATCATGTCAGGGGGAAGACACAACAGTAATCAATAAAGAAAATTCCCAATTTATCTACAACGATTTTCTCAATATACCGCAACTATTTTTTGGTACCATGGGGTTCTCCCAACGAAATTCTCCCCACAACGAATTTTTTTCAGGCTCCGTGAATTTCGTTGTAGAGAGTCCACGTGCCTTGCATAACCCGAAAGTTCGAAATGGCCGATTTTTTGCTTAAAAGATTTCTGATTTTTGTATCTAGAGTAAGTCGAAAAATCGGAAGAAATCAAGTATTTATCAAAATTATGACACCGTCGATTCAAAATTAAAATTTAATTTGAGCACTTCGAAAGACAATTTTTGAAGACATATAAAAAAATTCCATATCCTTCTGAAATCTCAAAAAAGTGCAAAATTTGAAAATGGACAATCCTCCTTAAAACATGAAGTTGTCATCACAATACCAATCTGCACATCGAAACTTGATCCAATTTTTTTCTCCAGCCATGTTTCATTTGCTGGGATCGTATATTAATCAATACAGTATTCTGAAGAGTTAATTGATTACTTAGTTAATTCATTACTGAATCATTCATTTTTTAAGTAATCGCATATTTCTGGACCGCCACGTGATACTGGCGTTTTGCATCACGATCTCGGAAGCCATACATTTTTGAATGCACTAAATAGAACTGCATCTTGGTGTCGAGTTAATACATTCCATGTGCATAGCAAAGACAGGTGAGGATGAGAAACTTTTGATATTTTCCATAGAACGAGTTCTTCGACAGCAATACATTACTCAAAATACAGTAAAGTACTCAGATCAATGGATTTACGACAATGAAAAAAAAACTACATGTACGATTGCGAGGTATTAAGAATATTCCTCTTCACGATAGTGATTGAAACGTTGATTACAAATTAGAAACTTCCCCACGTCACATTACAATCGCATGCCAAGAACTCACGGAGCCAACCTGGAACTGTAATTCTCCGGCTCCGATGGAGAAGTCGCAAAGGAAAAGAAGCGAGAATTTCTCATCCATGACGCTTTCGGTGCCCTTCTTTTCGGCGCGTTTGATCTTCCGTAGTTGCATGTTTCTGAAATTCACAACCAATTGTCGCGTGGCAGATATGTATTCCATCGTCCCCGAGTTGTTGAGAATTTCCCCGCTGCCTTCGAACTTCGTGCCGTGTTGTTCGTTTTGAACCAGTAGAGCATTCGCTTGAGCTTCACTCAGAATACTAACTTTGACCTGCAATAATTTTTTTTTTAGAAAATCAGTTCGCCACAACAATTACTTACTCGAGCATTTTATCGTATAAATACTCCGATATTCATAAAACTCGTTTCTGAACTCGATACTCAAGTCAAACTTCAGGTGAATATTCCTTATCGAACACAAATTTAATTTCACGTTCTAACGTAATCAAAGACGGGGATATGTCAGGATTCATTCGTAGCCAGCATTCAACAACCTTAAATTAAATGTCGTCGAAATGTCAATTTAGGTTTTTAAAAATGCACATCTGAGCTCTCTTCGAATGGAATCGGACACTTTTCGAAGAGTGAAGTGGGTAACACCAAGATATAGAGATTCCAGGCCACACTCACACCAAATTTTGGATGAAAAGGAGATCACTGATCGATCAAAAAAAAATAATATCGTGAACTGGACGTCGTAGAAATTATTTACGTCTTACAACCCTTCTGCAGTTCTGGAAAAGAAATACAGGTGGTCTCTCCACAAAAAAAACTTGTTTGCAATGATTGTCTCTGTACAACGATCCTTTCGGTCTAATCGGGTTCTCTACGACGAAACTCTCTCTGCGGCTGTTTTTTTTTTTTTTTGGTCCCTCAAATTTTTAGTGTAGGGAGAGTCCACCTGTATTTGAAATTTCTGGATAGTAAAACACGTAACTCACCAACGGGGAGCTCATGTGTACATTCAACTTAGCTCCTACAAGCAGCCGAACCGTAGCAGTAAACCGCGTGTTAGTTTTCATCACTTGTGGGGGTTGTTTTTCCACCACGAACGTCGACGTGACCAGAGAAGACAACAACTCGGTGCTTTTGTTTCTGAGTTGAGAAACCAGTTCCGCGCCACTGTTGCTGGTGCCGAGTGATTGCGACGCGACGATGAGTCGATCCAGCTCTTTGATTTGTTGTCTGTTCATCCAAATCAGTTCGGCAAGGTTTTCGCACCACTGCTGGATGATGTCTAGGTTATTGTTGAAGCCAGCTCCGTTGCCTGCAAGTTGTTGTTCTCGCTTCCATTGAGTCAAATGAATATCGAGAACTCGACTTTGCACTTGTTGCAGCCCCGTAATCGTTTCTTCGTATTTTCCGGCTAATGTCACTCGGCCGTGAACCAATTCAGCGTTCTGAAACATACAATTCGGAAAATTGTTTATCCATGACAAGGGATGATGAAAACTCACTCTGGACACTTTCCAAGAGTCAACACGTTAATCCGAACTTACCAAATCAATTAAAATAATGAAGATACGATTGCGTGAATAAGATTTCACACGTCAAAATTGTATTTGTCATTAACAGAATCATCACTTGGAAATAGATTGCATACGAACGTTAACGACCCTTTCAGGTAGGAAACTACAACAGGAGAAAGAAAGCTAAAAGCGGATACGAAGAGCCATCAATTAATCAGGTGAGACAGTTCATACCTCGGCAATTCTCAAAATGAGCGACACAAAATCTCTGTCAAAATATCATCCAGATAGACAAGATTTTTAGAATACAGTAGCATTTCTCAATGAGAAGTAGCTACGTATCTTACCTTAGCTCTGAGTTCGTTAGTCTTGCTTTCCTTTTGCTTCAAATGTTTCTTTTCCAGTTCAGCTTTCTGCTGATCCGTGGCTTGACTCAGTTGCGTTTCCATATACACTACGCATAAATAGAGAAATTTCACGGTTCATTCTTCGAAATGAAGACTGGTTGAAACTCACGCATCAACCGGCGGTACTCATTGCATTGCAACAAAAATGACTCCTGTTCTTGCTCGATGCGCCGCAGCTCACTAGCGGTCTGTTGAGTAACTTGGCGCAGTTCTTCCAGCTGTTGAACGATCCAAAGATTCGGAGTCGGATCAACGCTGCCCATCGCGATGCCCTGGAAGAATGAGATTTCAACTTGTACTACGATTTTTATTACGACGTCTGACAAACGCTTACGGATTCCGCTTGTTGAACGAGTCGAACTTCCACATCGAGACAATGCTTCAAGATTTTGATTAGTTCCAGAGGACTAGGCAAGTAACGAAGCTGAAATACACGACATCATAAAACATTTAGATTCACAACATCACGCATCAATCACAATACCTTTAAATTTTCCACCCAGTTCTTGATCTGGTATGGTAGAACGAATTCATTCTGAGCAAGTTCGTTCAACTTCACTATCATTTGAGAAACAAATTGATGAGCACCATCGAAGCATTGAGGATCATCTGGGTCAATTTCGTTCCTGAAAAACAGATTTCGAACCAGAACTACAGTTGCGCACACGGAACGCTGAGCGATAAAAATAAGTCAAGTGCTTTGAAACTATCTTGAAGGAAGAATCGCATCAGCAATAAGAGATGAAATGCACGGGATACACACCAATTCTGTTCTTCAATCCACTGAGCCAGGTAATGCCGAATTTCAATCGGGAAAAGCTCGGGGCGATACAGCGATTCAACTTGTTTGAACAGCTCCGGGGAAAGGTGCTGCGTTCTAGCCCAAAGGGCCATCTCGGACGATGTACGACGGTTTTCACTTATAAGCAAAATATCTTCGACACTGACTTGTCGAGCATCCAAGACGAGGCAAGGGTAAGGCGGAAACAAAAGACGCGCGGCGAAGATCTGTACAATTATCACACCTGTTGCACCCAAATGACACTCGTATTTGTTACGTTCAACACGCGACAGAGATGTGTCGCGTACGTGCTTCCCCAAGGCATTGAAACATCCAACTGAGCATCGACTGAGCATGTACGCGGTACCAAAATGAGTCACATAGGATTTCGTTGACAGTTCTATGCGCTATAGTGCGAAGGGAGAGAGGAGTCTCAGGTGAGATGGAGCTTTGGCGGGAACTCCGTGGATCTCGGGGAATCCAGGAAATCTCACAAGCTATACCATCGCCTGGCACTCAAATCCTCCGCTGAAATCCAGAAATCCACTCCGAATACCACACATGCGGATTTAAACGGACGATCGAAAATGTACAGTATTAAACTGATGTACAATACCTGTAGTTCTCAATGACATCAGTCAACCAGAAAAATCGGACCGATCTATTCTTCATATAGGGGAACGTTCTCTCCCTGAACGGCAGGAAGTGAGGCATCAATCCAGGTACAGTAATTTTTAAACCCCTTCTTTTGACATATTCTCTTGAACTTTGAAAGAGAAGACGAACGAAAAATCCTCGAGATACAAGCGCGCCGAAAGAAATACTCTATCGATACGTCTAAATACACGTAACTCCCATATCTCACATCACAACTGACTTTTCGGAAAATTTCATCCAAAACTCGGGTGAGTCATTCATGTTGATCGATTTGTAAGTTTTTCAGAGAGGAAATGCTGGCTGCGTTGCATATTAATTGAAACTTATTCTGGCGAGAATTTGGTACGCACGCGTCCAAAACTTAGAATTATTTTCGAGCAACAGCTAGCTCATCGTATTGGAGAATTTCTTGATTTTATCAGTCGGAAAATGCATACTTTTCAAACATGCTTCTAATATAAAAATGCAAGTATCATTAAGAAATATTTTAAATCAACTTAAAATAAATTTTTAACTCACAGCAGGCTTTTAATTGGCATATTTTGCCTTTTCACTTTAATATTACACCTGCATCATTTATGAGAATATTTTGGGATAAAAATGGTTTATCCACCCAATTCAAACTTAATCGCAGAATTCATAGTTGAGATTTTTAAATTTTCCCCTGGGTTATATACAACCTATTCTAGGGGTAATTTTTCACATGCTGCTATCTTGATAAAAAAAACTTACAGCGTGATTGTGTTCCACAACTTTACAGATAAATATCAAACCACACAAATACAATATGGTGCACGCTTATCCTTGACCTTCAGTTGAATCTGTATAAAACGGCTTATGCGTCATATTCTTTTCTTCCAGCTGATGAATGCAGTTTACTTCATATATATGAACTCATATGGAGTCATTTCACGTTGGGGTGGGCTATTGTCCGCCTCATTTTCTTCAGAAAATTAAGGTCCTTATACTCCTCACACTCATATATTGATTGTTATTGGGATGCAGTATTATTATTGCTTCTTATTCATACTGTACAGCTGTGGATACATACAAATACCCTGGTCATGGTAAGGTTTGTAACATTAAATCATGCTGCTGTAGCATTAAAATACCTGTACAGTATGTGCAATTGAAGTCCAAATAGGCCAAAATTTGATTCCAATCATGACACTACATATTTGTAGAGGGTATATTTCATCTTTTGTTTATACAGTAGGTGTTACTTGCGGACAGGGATGTATGTATATATACATTTACATACATATGTATATACAGTATATACATATATATTGCATATCAGTATATAGTATTCATACTCTCTGAACTCAAGTTAAAATACATCCTGTAATTGTTTGCTAACCATCAGTAGTTCCCAGAAAATCATCTCAACAATGAAAGAGTATATATATAGCTTTTTTTTAACCAGATTAGGACTTTCCGGGAACAGCAGGTAAATGAAAACAAGAACAGAACTCGGAGAAATGCTCAGAAGAAATCAAAGAAGGGTGGAATTCTGGCTTCACAACCCGGAATTATAACATACAGTATTTATGTGGCAACAAATGGTTCTTCAAGTAAAAAAAAAAAAACATAAGCCAGTGTTAAGCGCTCCGATTATGCAAGAGATGCGATCTGCGATAAAGGTTCACGTTAGGACACAACTCACAAAAGGCGCGGTGGAGTTCCGAGAATCAGCGGACTATAGCAGTCAGGGATTCTTGGAACTGAGCACAACGTTCTGACAGTTGGTGCTCAGCATGCGGGACAGAGAAAGACCAGAACTATACACTGCGGATCAACAAATGAAGGGCGGAGGAAGGACAGAGTCGAACTTTCATGTGCATGCGCATGATAGCAGGAGTATAGCATCTATATTGGACCTAAACTGAATCTGGACCTGCCGTTAATTCATGGAAATTAAGTATACCGTATATTGTAGACAGTCACTTTTATTCACCGAACAATATTTCCGGGTCCAGGACTAGCTTAGAAGAACTGTGTTGAATAAATGACAGGGACTTGATACAACAGTTGAACCTGGATAATATAGATCCTGAGTGTTGTCCAAAAGAAACCGTTCATTTGCGAAGATGTCCATGGACAATGCTTTTATAAGTGAAAAATGGAAATCTTTCCATGGAATAAAGCTGCAGATGTCTTGGTAGTTATGAAACTCTCAACCATATTTAAATAAAAAGTGGAGGGGGAACTATATAATGGCACAGGTGGCTTTTGAAGGGCAGCTTTTTGAATGGGGGGGGGGGGGGCTTATGGCAAAGGGGCTTCCGGTTGGGTACCACTGAATCCCCCCCTAAGTAAACATTTTTAAGAGTCCCTGTCTGAATTCCCTGACAAACAATGCATTAAAAACCTCTCTAACTTGGAAGCTTTTCCTTTAAAATCTCAAATTTTCTGAGGTTTTTTGGCTTCTATTTTCTTGACACAGGAAATAGAAGAGTAATAAATAATAACTTTTGAGTGTTGCGAAAGGAAGTGAAAGGCTAATTGGGCAAGTAGACCCTGGCCTCCAAGTTCATCATCATCCTGTAAACTCATTTGAGAAGCAATTTGAGGCCCAAAATATATTGTAACACCAATAATTTGGTACATACTAGCTGTATCACCATTTACAATTCCCTGCAATTCTTGCATATCTTTCCCAAGACAAATATGTTTCCTAAACTCAAAATATCCCCAACTCTAATTTTTGTGTGTTGGCCCCTTGAAATTTGACTAAGAGAGGTGCCAATAACTGTAATACCCACAACAAGAACAACAAAGTTTTGACTGTCACAAAAAAGCATTGGTTCTGAGAACAGATGCACAGCTCATCTTGATTTTTAAAAATTTAAAGTATGGACCAAATTGTAACATTATATCTTGTAAATAATTTAACTTTATTGTCACATTCTATTTTGCAGAAAATTTAATTTTGATTGGAAAAAACCAATATAAACAATTGAATCATCACTATTGTCACTGCTGAATAATAATTATTTCTTTCATATTCCCCTGATGCAATAATTTACACTTTGTGATTTTTTAATGTTATGCTGTACCTGTATCCCACTTGTGATGGAAAGTAAATCACAGAGATGAAAAGGATAAAAAATGAATACAAGACTCAATCCGCCCGGGAACAGGGCAGGGGATTCTCGGCAGAATCCCAAAAGAGAAACAGAATAATATATTTCAAGAGAAGAGACTTTCAAAATTCGAATTCCGAACAGGATTTCCCGTTGCGGGATTTTTTGCGCAGCGGCAGCGTTATTTTATTAATTTATATAACGGGTATTGCGGGACGACTATCCCTTACAAAACCCCCCTTGGGACTACGGCATCTTCCAATGGACAGATGTCGCAGTCCCAATGTGGAAGGATAGGCGGACCGCGCGGAAAGAGAAATTCTCGAAAGTTCGATGTATGTGTGGTGTACTCGAAAAAGTGAAAGTTTGAAGATGGATGCTATCTGAAGTGCAAAAAGTGGAAGGAAGACGTTCCCATAGAAGTTGTCATGTTTTGAGTGGCCAGTTCAAGACAGGACGACAAGTGAAGATGAACGAGTTTCGCGAGTTTTTTTTTTTTAAAGTGTTACGCTTCCTAATAATGCTAAGCTTTCTAATATGCGGAATCAATATCGTTATTTTTAAGCTTTTCTAAGATGCGGAGTCAAGATCGTGATTTTAAGCTTTTCTAAGATGCTGTGATTTGGCTGTGATTTAGTGAAAAAAATAGGATTTTCTAAAATGCTGATTAAGGTTTGCTAACGGTATAGATTCTTGTTTTTACAAAGAAGTAATGGAGACGAGTATTAAGTATGCTTTGTAATAGGCTAAAAGATAAACAACGTAGGCTTTCTTAAAATGCTAAAAATAGTCATGCTTTCTTAAGATGCTAAGATAGATAAATTAAGCTTTTCGGAATATGCTAGAGTAAACGAATGTAGCTTTTCTAAAATGCTCAAGTTAACGAAGTAAGCTTTTCTAAAATGCTCAAATTATTCCATAAACCATTAATTTTCAGGGTAGTAATTTTCGCGGGAATGCGTGGAATGAGGTTGCTCTGCCTCTCTTTTCTGGACCATCGTGGTCAAACGTGCATGGTATGAGGTTTCTCTGCCTCATACTTCTTTGGACCATCGTGGTCAAACGTGCGTGGTATGAGGTTGTTCTGCCTCATACTTCTCAAAAACGATTTTTCGTCACATTTTCAAGGCATTCAAAAATTCGCGGTGCGTCAAAAGTACGAATAGTGATCGAAACAGATTGCGTGCGAAAGAAGGAAGATTTCATGAGATCGCAAGGATCAAGTCAACGTTCGTGATGGCCGAAGGTGGCAGTGGAGATCCAACCGAGAAGAAGCTCGAGAAGAGTGCGGCAATGAAGAGTATGTCTGGTACGTGTTGAGTGATGAAAGTTTTTTTTTTGTGGATTTCCATCTTGAAACGCCTCTTGTCTTCATGACAGATGATCTACACGAGTTGTTGGAGAAAATGAAGGTCCTTGATTTTCCTGCTCGTCCAAAACGTCGGTTAGAGGCTGTAGAAAAGGCTGAGAGGATTGATTCGTCATTAAAGAATGATATCGCCAATGAGCTGACGAATCTTGTGCAAACCTTATCCGGAGAACAACAACGGCGTTTGGAGAGATTCATCAAGGTACATCTTCTACACTATGTTCAGTCATTTTAGGTTTAAGCTTTCTAATTTGCTAAAATATAAACTTATCTCAGATTTTCAAGTATAAGCTTTTCTAAGATGCTGAAAAATATGAGCTTTCCAAGATGCTAAAATATGAGCTTTCCAAGATGCTAAAATATGAGCTTTCCAAGATGCTACTTCATCTCGTTCCATACGTTCGATCCCCACTAATCATACTTTATAATTTTTAGCTAATTCAGAGCGATTACGTTGCCGACTCGGAGCTGCGTGGTATCAAGCGTGAATTGCGTGCCAAAAGATCTCGGATTACGGAGATGGGGGAGGAGTGTGCGTTGCTCGAAGGAACCGAGGGAGTCCTACGTGAGAAGATTGACGTGGAGAAGGAAAGATTGCGACAAGCTGAGATTCTACAACGTAACTCGGAGCAGGCTTTGAAGATTGCCTTTGATAAGATCTTAGTGAGGGACTTAGCTGAGTTGAATGACGCGCTTGGACCTGGAAGACGTTACTTTGCTGCGGGTGACTTGTACGTGGAAAAATTACAAGGTATGTTGTCAGCTGCTACTTTCTTTCGAATGTGGAAGATCAAGATCGTAATAAAGGATGGAGAAAAGGAAAAGTGACAATGGTGTTATCTTTTCGATATTCCAGGAGATCTAAAGTTCGTCAGTTTCCGCGATGTTGAGTTCGTTGTTGGACCTAAAGACAAGTTGATCCTGGAGTGGGAAGCAAATACCGTGTCGACAAATCGGGTTTCGGTAATTGTGCCTGACTATGTGGAATCACTGACTGGAGCGCTTGTTCGATTTGATGAAGAGTGCTCTGGGTCTGGTTTGCAAGAGGAGGTGTTACTTTCCTCAACTGGTTCTCTAAGGAATGATGTATTGACGGACGGTTAGTTTTACTTTCTCCTCTTTTTTCTTTTTAGTTATATTGTTATTATATGGGGTAGTGTGGTTGTTGATCTTATATTATAGATGAGATCTCGCGTGTTTTTCACATAATGCGTTTTGAACCGGAGGACAGAAACGGTTATATGCGGAATGCCGTTGTCGCTATGGTTATGGGGTAGTGTGGTTGTTGATCTTATATTATAGATGAGATCTCGCGTGTTTTTCACATAACGCGTTTTGAACCGGAGGACAGAAACGGTTATATGCGGAATGCCGTCGTCGCTATGGGCATTACTTGGGACTTGATTGATAATTTGGGCGGCTGGAGAGTACCATTGCCCATTCCGGGTTGTGTAGTTGAGGATTTTAACTACATAACTAATGAGTATAAATTGCTTGGAGGTCGAATTCGAAATTCGGATCATCCGGCGGTAATGGTGTTGGGAACTTTGATGACGTCCACCTTTAATATAACGCGCCATCGTAGATTTTATAAGACAAGGATTTACGATGTGCAGCGTATTCGATATCCCTGTCCTAACTTTTCATATCTGACAGAAGGGATGGATGTCGACATCTACCAGGTATTTATTCAACTATTCTTAATGATGTTAGAGATAACCTATTGACGGAAACAGATTGAATAGTCTGGTGAAGGGAAATTTATTTTTTGTAATGAGATGGGTGTTTATCTATATTTTCGTAATATTCCGGATGATGTTATCTAAGTTTTCGTGTTATTTTCTGGTCTTTTTAGGTGTCAATAAGTGGATGGAGTCTGGTGACGAAGAAGGGAAGCATTGATTTGGATGCTTTAAAGAAGATGATTTATGATGGGCTCAACCTAGATGATGACTTCAAGTTTGCTCAAATCTATCTTCGCGGAGGGACGAATGACATAAAACAACTTTGCACCTATAAATGTCATGATCCACGATTTCCTACGTTCAAGGCATTTTTTGAGGAGTATGTTGGGTTTATTCAAAATTTGGCGAGGAAGTTTGAGTGGCTTATTTTCGCGTTGGGAGCTTCTCCTCCTGCGCCTGAGCCTGTGTTAAAGGGGCCGTTTGCAGTTTTATTGGATGCAGATGACATGGAGGGTTTACCAGTGATACCACTTAGATCTTGTGGTGAGATTGAAGGCGTCGATGAAGATACGAGAGAGAGGGCTGGAAGAGCATTTCAACGGGCATTATACCATCGTCTGAATTGGATGTATGGTATAAGGTTTGAGATTGACATGGAGAAGGACTTATATTGGATACCGCTCCCCACACCAATTGACAATTTCGTTAATTTTAGTTGTGGGGGAGGTCTGGGTGACTTTGGTCATTTGAATTCCAGTTCTTCTTTGCTTTTTGCCAAGTATCACTGTCTTGCCATCTGGCAGGGAATTAAGTATCTTCGCGGTTATCACAAGAAGGATGGAAGAATTTGCTCAGGGGGCTGTCCAATATGGATGGTGGATGGGAATGTTATGCCTGGCATTGATCCGGGTGTTGTTCATCAACATGCAGGCTCATTTGGGCTTGTTGAGAATTGCATTGGACCGATGCTGTCTACTGATAGGTATAAATAAAAAAAAAGTTGTTTTAATTCGTCATAATACGAATGATTTCTTTTTCATTTTCAGTGCGAATGTCAGCAGATATGATTATGAGGAATGTTTCACTACAGAGATGGCTTTATCTGCACGGACTGGTGCAAGGTCTGTGGAAGTTGGAGACATTGTCAAGATCATGGGCTTGGAGGGGCATCAAATTGTCGTTCATCGAACCATTAACGGGGTTTGGACTGTTGGTCACAAGGGAAGGTTGTATAGTGACCTAAAGGATGTACGTGTTGTGCCGGGAGTTTTCACGTGTCGATTCGAGGGTTGATGGGTCGTTTTCGAAATTTTTTCGTTGATAAGGAGTTTTCCGTGGGACATTTATTTTGAAGGGTCATTGTATAGATATTGCTTTTGGGTTTGGCGGGATAAGTAAATAATCGTTACATATCCGCTGAAATTCGCGCTGATACGGGTTTTTTTTTTTTTTTTTTTTTTTTTTTTTTTTTTAGA